CAGGAACCGGGAAATAGGGCGACGCCCTCTGTGCGCGTCGTCATTCGTTCGCTGTTCACTCGGCCTGTTACGCTGCCCTTCTCTCCGCAACTGTTTTCTTCTCCCTTGCGCTAGTATTCATATCTTGCGTTTGCATTCTCTTTCTTTTTGTTACTTAAGAATATAAGGTTCTATGGAATTGTTTCTGTCATTAAAAACCCTAATTTTTCTCGGCTGCTGTCATTTTTTTTAATCGTCACTGTTTTCAGATATGACAAACGTGGGTGACTGGAACGCATTCCGCTCTGAGAAGAGAGGCCATTCTGATGGCCCGACTTTGTCGCCGTGGATGATAACCGCTTTACAGGCTGCCAAGGTTTTTTGTCCATATTTCAAGTTTTGGAAAACATAAAATTTTTGCAGCTGACAATATTTTGCACATGCAATTTTTTGTTGACAATCGGAGCTTCGTTTTCGAAAATCTGCGTTTTGCTACTGTCGACGAACATTCTGCCCAAGCAGTTGCCTGACAGCTTTTCGAAAACTTGTTTTCGAGCGGCAGGTACGCTTACAATTTTGTTTCGAAATCGTTTTTTTCAAAATTTTTCAGTACGTAGATCGACTACATCGATGGCGGCCATGTACTCGGCCCTCACTTTGGTTCAGTGTTTCCCGGATTTCGTTCGCGTGGCTCAGTCCTCGTCGCAACTGTGGCTCGGAGTGAATTCTCCAGTTCTGCGCCTGGTTATTGACTCTTGATCGATATTTTCTAATAGGTTTCTTTCCAGTTTGTGTTGGTCGAATGCATCCGAGCATTAGGCCTTGCGACTCTTTCATTTTTCGTTTTCCCTCAACTGGATCTTGCGAGGTAAGCTTATGATACTGGAAGGGACATTTTGAAAACTTTTAGATGCGCGCTTCTTTCGGCCTGTTTGCCGCTAGTAGCATCTTTCCAGAGCTGCATGGCTGACTTTTCCAACTCAAGTCGCTCCGGCACGTCGCTCAGAAACCGTTTGGGCAAATGCTTGCTTATGGCTCCTCATCTCTTGCTTTGCCTGATTTTCTTCAGCAGCAGCTACCTCTGGGCTGTTTTGGATCGATCCTTTGACGTAGGGAGCTCTTTCACAACTGTACTGCAATCTTCACAGGCCGTTATTTCGCTTCCGGTGGGATTGTTTTTGGCTTCGGTTGGCTTCTGGGAATCTTGGATCAATGTTCGTCACGCCAAAACTTACTTTGATGATCTCTACAAGGTCACAAAGCTATATAGTTATCTCGCAATGGATACTTTCAGGTGAAATACGGCGTCAAAAAAGTGAACTCTTCGACAAAGTTTACAACATCTCTTCTGAGAATCATCATCACTTTCACGACAATGGTTTGATGAAAAAAGTTTCGAGTTTAGAATTGATCAGCATATCTTCTAGATTTTTGCGGTCAATATCAACTCACATGCAAAGTTATCGGTTGGAAATTTCTTCCAGGCGATTTTCCAATGGAGTTTTCAAACGAACTACACGTATGTGAAACAATATATCTGGGGTACTTGCGAATTTCCAGGAAGATTCTCATTCTGGCTTGCTTCTTGGTTTTTTTGCACCTGCTTTTGCGAGGGATCACGCGGTTCCTGGCGGCTTTGGACCTTCATCCGATCTCTTTCACTCACCCCATGTCCATATCTCCACTAATTGTTTTTTCAGTGGTACGATTTGTTTGCCACTCACCAAAATGCATCGTTGCTAGGGTTTGTTCATACAGAAAATATGTTTCATGGCTAGTTTCGTGCAGATTCTTGCCAAGTTTGGCCTGCGATGGTCTTGCGATCCTTGGGCTTCCGAAGAAGCTTTGGTGGCTGAGTATGCAGTTTGCATTGTTTGGCTTGCTATTGGCTGCTACCGTGGCTGGAAGGTCGTTCGTCAACGTTACTTTGAAACCACAGAAGAAATGTTAGTGAAGAAGAAGCACCTCTCTTTGATTTTAAGTTTCAGAATATCTTCAATGTCACCAACTTGCAACGGACTCTGTGTGGAGCATTCACTGGTCATTTTCCAGCATTCTCTGAGCAAAATTGTGAATTCACTGAAGTCTTTGAAACAATAAATCTCTTGATTTTTTCAAGGTTTCATCCCCCCTCGAAGATGAAGAGGACGTTGGAGACTTGAGAGATCAATTCCGTATCCGCAACGACGACGTCAATCGCTCGATGACAGTTTACATGTGTGCGACGATGTGGCACGAAACCGAGATCGAAATGCGCCAAGTTCTGCGCAGTATTCTGAAGCTCGACATCGACCACTCTTCTCGAAACACTCGCAGACAAGGAAACGAGCTGCAATATCAACTAGAAGGTGGAGGAATGAGAAAAAATCCCATCTCAATTTTGGATTCTAGGACATATCTTTTTCGACGACGCTTGGGAAGACAAAGAAGAGCCTACTGGAACTGTTCGACAGCCTAACGAGTTTTTCCAGATGTTTTTCCAGTTGTTGAACGAGATGACTAAGTTCGAAACAAGACATCCGTTTGGCAAAAAAAAAATTATTCTCAGAGAAAAGGTGAACGAGTTTGGCACCATGGAGTCAAGAATTCTGGTGAACACCCCGTATGGAGGTCGCCTTGTGATCAAACTGCCCGCAGGAACGCTTCTCTATGTTCATCTCAAGGACAAGAAACTCATCCGACACAAGAAACGTTGGAGCCAGGTAAAACTGGAGCTATGAAACATCCATCCGAGAGAGGCCACAGCTTGGTACCCAATCTCGAGAGCGAGTCTTTGCTCCTCCTCAACTATCGGAGGCAAGACGAGACCGAGACCGAGAGCCTAGAAAAGCAAGGGGAAAACACAATTTATTCATTACACCTGAAAAACCCTTTTTCAGGTCATGTACATGTACTACCTACTGGGCCATCGCATCATGGATTCTCCTCTGTCGATCGAAGATCGCCAGAGGATGGCCGACAATACCTTCATTCTGGCGATCGACGGGGATTCCAAATTCGAGCCGGACGCCCTTCTGAGACTTCTCCATCTCATGAAGACGAAAAACGATATCGGCTGTGCCTGTGGCCGTATTCATCCGATTGGAAGCGGTGACTTTCTATTTCAGATATGAAGAGCATATTTTCGTGAAGCTGTGAGAAAAGGCGACAAAAATGATTTTTGCAGGCGTTATGGTCTGGTATCAAAAGTTCGAGTACGCCATCGCTCATTGGTTTCAAAAGGCGGCTGAACACGTGTTCGGGTGCGTCTTGTGCGCTCCTGGGTGTTTCTCCCTCTTTCGAGCGTCGGCCTTGATGGATGACAACATCATGCACAAGTTAGTTGATCATCTTCTTCAGAATGTTTTGTATTTTTGAAAGTTCGGTGTTTCTCAAGTCAAGAAAAATATTAAGATACACGAAGACTGCAGAAGAGCCGAGGCACTATGTACAGTACGACCAAGGAGAAGATCGCTGGCTAAGCACATTGCTCTTGAAACAAGTACAGTCCCTCTTCAAAATGAAGAAGATAACTAAGGCTTTTAGGGCTATCGAATCGAATACGTCGCCGCCTCGGACGCTGAGACATACGCCCCGGAAGGATTCGAAGAATTCTTCAATCAGCGACGCCGCTGGACGCCTTCTTCTATCGCCAACACAGTTGATCTTCTCATGGATTACAAGGTTGTTATTGAAGTGATTAGAAGAAACGATCGTTTTTTAGCGGGCCATCGCGAACAACAAGTCGATCTCGCTAGCCTACATTGCTTACCAGTTCATGGTTATCTTTTTCTCAATGCTCGGTCCAGCCATCATTTTTACCATGCTCGTCTTTGCACAGGTTCGAAATTTTTCAATGACATGAAAGACTCTCGATTACAGGTGGCAGCTTTCGGTGCAAACTCAACGGATATGATGATCTACAATGGCATTCCAATTGTCTTTTATGTTCTCCTGTGTTTCACGACAGAATCCAACGTCCAGCTTTTTTATGCCAAGGTATGCAAAAGCAAAAAACTTGGAAAATACTTCTTTTCAGATGATGTCGATCGCTTACGCTTTTGTCATGTTGGCCGTTCTTGTGGCTACGAGCAGTCAGATTGTGCTAGAAAGTGAGAAAACCCCGCCATGAGGCACATCATTTATTCCTTCAGCTGTTGTGGCTCCGACTTCCTTGTTCATTGTTACAATGGTGATGATCTTTTTCTCGGCCGCTTGTCTACATCCGAAAGAGTTTTCCAACATTCTTTATGGTATACTGAAAAATGAGAAAAACGTACGGTTTTCTTTCTAGGAACCGTTTTTTTCCTTATGATCCCCTCTACTTATGTCTTCCTCTCGCTGTACTCTCTCATCAACCTTAACGTCATCAACTGGGGAACAAGAGAAGCTGTAGCAAAAGCTACGGGAACAGTGAGCAGTTTTCCAAACACTTGAAAAACTGAAAAAAATCGTTTCAGACAGCGAAGAAAGCCCCAATGGAACGTTGGCTGAACAATAGCCTCACAGCCCTGAAAAAAGTTTTCTCGTACTTCACTAGAAGAGGCGAAAAGTCAGCGGAACGGGAAAGTATTCTAGAAAAGAAAATCTCTGAAGTTGAAAGCGTGCTGGAAAAAATGAAGGTTCTTCCTCTTATCGAGTCATAAGGTGATCATCGCTTTCAGAGAGGAGAAACAGCGGAAACTGCGAAAGTTTCGAGAGAAGATGATGAGGAATCGACCCAGAAATTAATGCAGCAGGAGACTGATTCGAGTGTTGAATTGAAACTTCCAAGCGAAGAGGTCAAACAAAAACAAGACAAGTATGCCTGGATGTCTACTGATAGCCTAAAAGTTTGTGATATTTCTCATTTTTTATTGATTTCTTTTTTTTTCAGGTGTGTGAGAAAGGAAAGTTGAAAGATGCGGAAAAGCAGTTTTGGGCTCAGCTGATCGATAATTACCTGAAAGTAGATTTTTCATTATTCCGAGAAATGGGAATGGAGAACTTTCAGCCGATTGTCTCTTCGCCCGCGGAGCAGAAACAAGTCGCCGACGGGCTGGTGTCCTTGAGAAACCAAATCGCCTTCACGATTTTGCTCATAAACGCCCTTCTCGCCCTTGCCATCATTCTCATTCAGAAGCATAAGAACGTCCTCAGCATCAAATGGGTCCCTTATGGTCCATTATAATTTGTTTTCATATTCTGAAACTTTTGGTTTCAGAAGGATTCCAATGGACCAAGATGAACGAAATGACTGGACAATTTGAAACGACAGCAGAGCCTTTGAAAATTGATCCTCTTGGAATGGGAATAGTCATTTTCTTGTTGGCAATTCTTTTCGTGCAGACTATTGGTGAGTTTAACAGTGAACAGGCTCAAATGATGTACTCATTCTCATAGGAATGGTTCTCCATAGGATCAACACGATGTTAGGCGCCTTCCATGAAGTGAAGAACTTATACGATTACGGAGTGAACAGCCAGAAAAGCACTAAGGCCGAAGACGAGAGAATACTCTCAAAAGGTTATTTCTCCTTTCCTTCTTCTGTTTTATTTCTTTCGTTTATGGCACAAAATTCAAACTTTACAGCGCGCCAAATGATGTACGCTACCGATTACAAGAGTGGCCACGCGGCGGACGGCTACAACAGAAGCCGTGGGGACGAATCTTCCGGCGAAAACGTTCTCTACAAACTCCAGAAAGCTCGCCTCGCCGAGCGTATGCAGAAAAGCGCCCTTTCGGATTGCCTCGCAGAGGAATGATCAAATAAACTCAAATTTGTTTGTAAATGATCCCTATTGTAGATTTTCCTAATGCCTTATTGTAACTTGTCAGAATGTCAAAATAAAAAGCGTTTTATATCAAGATTGAAATTTAAAACAAACATGAAGCATTCATAAAAGCAGAGGCATGTTCCAAACTGCAAAAATAGTTGTTCATTTTCAGTTACTTGCTGGTGACAAGTATCGTGGCAAGAACCGGGGCTTAAACAGAATTTGAAAATTCGAAAAACATTTAGAAAAAAATCAAATTGCGACCTTATCTAGAGCTCAGGTTTTCTTGTGAGCGGTCGTGAGG